TGTGCGTCCTTATATTAAATTTTATTAGCAGTCATCATTAGTCCAGTAACTATCCATTCTATGTAAGCACCTATGCTACTTTCAAGCAGGTGGTGAGCAATCAGAACCATTTTACCATCTTTCATATTCCAGTTCTTACTACGGTGCTAGACAATAGCCAAGTCATACCGTCTCATAGAAACGGCGATTCGCGAACCAATGTATCCCAACTGGGTACCCAAAAACACACGCCTCGCTTGTACCCCAAGCACAAACAAGACCAACCCGTTCCACTCCTATCAAGGGGTCCAGGTCCCCGTCCAAACTTGGACTCCAAGCCCCCACACTTGAGACCCGGTCTCAACATGGTGCTTAGACCTCCACGTTTCCCCGCCTCCAATCAGTCGGTCCAAAAAGAGCAGGAACCCACGACAAGAGCGTAACGAGCCTTTCCGCTCCCATAAGCAAGTATGTGCTCAGGGTAATAAGTCTGTGACCTGACTACCATCCACAGGCGGGATCAATGCAAGTATGTGCTCAGGGATAAATGCAACTGGAGCCTCGCTTGGTTGCCTAACTAAGTCCAAATCCAAATCCAAAGCACAGTCCTGCCCGGTCTCCAATTATCATCATATATAGTCCATGTGATAGTTAAGTGATAATAACAATAATGTCTTTCCTATCTCTCACGAGTGACAGGTAATCACTCGACTTCTATTGGAATCCTTTAGCATAGCAATCTACACGATCCTGACATACTAGTAGGACTCATAGGATAACGATATATATGCAAGTGGATTTTATTCAACTCCTTAAAACTTAATGCACAAGCATAAGATAAAGTGCAGAATAATAGGGGTTATGCACCGGGGATTGCCTGGGTAAGGTATAACCAAGGATTTGCATTCCACCGTGGTGACACGATCACCAATGCACCATCCTCCTGCTACTCTCGATCGACTCCAGATCCATCGTTTTCCTATTATGATATTCGCAAATGCAGCGCAGAAAACGTAATTAACCAATGGCAACCGTGCTCTAAAAACACTATTACGCTACGCAAGCTAATGGGCTAGCTCTAATGACTAACACACTAGGCTACGTATCCACGTTGTCAAGTAAGGCTTTGTTTCTGGAAAATGTTTTAGTTTTACAACCCCAAAGTGTTTTGGCATTTTATTGATTAAATACATATATTCGTACTAGGGCTCATTTAGCTACCTTAGTAACTAATTCTTATCGAGCTACAAAAATTACAGTGAGCACCTAATAATGTTAGAAATTTACTATTAAAGTTTCAGAGAGACACTATCACCTATTTATCACAATAATTCCTACAAGTTTATATCTTACAATATTAAGTATCTCAAATTAATTAGATAACTCCTAAAAATAATATAAAACTATGTGAACAAAATATACTAGCAAATAGATCATGATTTTAGGAACCTAACAAAATTAGTTTCACAATTTTGGGCCAACTACACAAATTTATATTGCATTTACAAGTTTGCCTTTAAACTAAATTAGAAAATGCTTAGAAAAAGGAAAAGGGCCGGCAGCAACCCATTCTAGCCCGACAGCCCAGCGCGGGCGTGGCCTCGCGTGGGTCACGATGGCCCAACATAGCCCAAGGCCAGGAGGCCCGTGCACAGCGGTGGCTTTGCAGAAAAACCCCCGAGCTTTCAGAGATTAATACGACTACTATGCTCACTATTTCTACCGTCAGCAAACCTTGCAACCAAACCCTCGGATGTTTTCACCTTTACCACGAAGAGATCCCTAGGATCCCCGCGCGTGCCAGCGCGGCGGCCGATGGCCTAGGTTGGTTATGCTGGGCAAACCAGACTCGTTACGACGTAAGTAAGAGGCCGGCTACCATCATGGCTAAACACGTGATGATGGGTGGCGGTTAGGGGCTCAGAGACGCATCGGCGCGAGCTGCAGCGGCGAGCGGCTATCCGCAGTGGTGGCGTGCCAGTTCTGAAGAGCTAGAGCTGCCAGAGGACTAACGCGTGAGCGAGTGAGCATGAGGAGCTTACAGCGAGCTTACCTGTGGTGATGGTTCGGTCAGAGGTGGTCCAAATAGGGCTGGCCACATGCGACCGAGCGGGGCGACGGAGCTCTGCGATGGACACCGGCACATCACCCCACCGACGACGAGCCCCCTGGGCAAAATAGCGCTAGCACCGAATGGAGGAAGTCAAGGCGAACTCAGGGTTACGAGCAATTGAACTATTACCGCTCCAACATGCCTTACCCCCAATCCACATACTGCGGTGGCGCCCATGGCCGGCAGCGAGCAAAACCTGAAATTGGCTAGACCACCGCTGGACCCGATGAGAGTGGGGCGTCTAGGTAACTCTCCATATTACTCATAGGTACAAGGAATTAGGCTGGGAGGGCTTGAGTTGGTGATTATGAAGGGAGGAGGGCGGCGCATCGCCACTGCTACATCACGCGACGCGGCCCCAGCAGAGGTGACCAGGCCACGACCCGACAGGGTACGACAACTCGGGGACATGGCCGCATGAGCGAGGGCAGGAGGTGTGTCGGTTAGTGCTTAGACGGAGCCAAGAGGGGTGCCAGCGTGCGGAGCACTTGAATGCAATAGCCGGGCCCGAGCGGCTCACCGGCGTCGACTAGCGAGACAAGGCGAAGCAGGGAGGTGTCACCGTCACCCTGTAGCTAGGGTCGGTTGATCCAGACGCAGCGGCGGTGGCATGGTTCGTGGTAGTTGAATCGTAGGGCAGGGCGGCTGCCACATAGACACAACAACAACGGCCGCGGCCTCAGCCTGGCCCCACGCGTGGCTCAGCGGTCAAGATGGCGCACGCTCGCGGCAACAACGGGCGCACGTGATAACCGCACCGCGACGGCGCCTCATAGCGCGGTCGCGCAGCGGCTACACCGGCATAGTGCAGTGGCAGCACTTCGGCACAGCGCAGCGGTGCGGCGTAGTGCTCGTGTGCACTTGAGCCAAGGCACGGCTCGACCGGCCCGACATGAGGTGGCCGCAATCGACTCGGCCCAAGGCATAGCACGGGCGGCGACGAGACAGCCACTGGCAAGGTCACGCGCGGTGCGCGCATGCAACAACGTGAGCACCCCCGCGCGATGCCGCACTCCCGAGCATGGTGACCGCGCACACTGGACCAGCCAACCCGAGGTGAGGTCATGCACGAATTTTAAAGCGTAAAAACCAACCAATTAGAGCTTGGTTGAGGTTAAAACAAGAGTTCAAGATACTAATAGGTACTAAGGGCTTCTCGTCCGAGCAGCGAGCACGGTCGGAGAGTGAGCATCGAGGGAGATAGATAGGTGCCAATATGGGTTCGTCACACTGAGTGTTGGTTCATGAACGGAGCGCCAACAGCCTGGTCATAGTGCGTTCTTAGGATGTTAGGGCAATTTTTGCAACGCCACGACAACTCCAACTCATCCGTGAACTACACCCTGCTAAAGCACTAACTTAGAGTCAACCAACAAAACAAAATCGTGGAGCTAGTGCTTAAGTATTTTAGTTAAAACGTAAACTCCAAGATGACATTACCTTCTTCCTTCTAGTCTTAGAAGGTCCAGAGCTCGGCTTGCACTAACATCCATTAACACCTTTGCCATAATTTTTAATTTGTCTAAACCTTATTAGCTTCAACCAAGAATTACTACATGCGATAGCCCATACTTTACACTAAACCATAGGAACAAAATACTTAAGCACTATTTAACTATTTTGCTCAATATAATTCACCAAAAATGACATTTTAAACATAGGTTCAAATTCTTGTCAATTCAACGAAAAGACTGATTTTTAGTTTTAGATTCAATTTTTGAGCTCTCAAGAACACTAGTTAACAACATTTGTTTTAAAAATTAAAGTTGCATTTTCAACTACACCACTTGCTCATCATCTTTACTTAAGTACTACACATAAGTTATATTTTATTTTTGTTTATAGAAATTTTTTTTCGTACCAAACAATTAAAACTACTTATTTTATTCTTCTTGTTAGGATTTTCATTAGCACATTTACGCACCGAGTAAATTAACTTAGATATTTATTTGATTTCTCTCAACCATAAAAGGGAGTCGCACAGAGTTTGTTTATCATTTCATGTGTGTTTTAATTTTTTTAGAACTCGAGAACTTGTTTTGCTAATTTCTCTCGGTACTAAGTAAGCTCGTAACACCTGGGGTGTTATAGTTTGCCTAATTCTCCTTATCAACAATGTAATGTGTTGGTTACTTCTTTAAACCTGTGCTAGCTATTCATTTTCAGTTCATTGTTGCTTCATATGCCTCCCAGCCCTCTTTGGTGCAGGCAAACAAACAGTTTCTCATAGTGGTAGTTGGGAGTTAGTTGTCTTGCCACATAAGCGGTGCAGACAAACAAACATAAACCCAGCCCTGGCCTAACTGAGAAAAATAACCAAACAAGCAGGTGTTGCACCAGCTGGGCCTACCATATGCTGGCCTGGCCCTCCTGGGCCATCTAGGTTGGGAAGGTCAAAGCAATCCAACACGCCCCTAATGCCCTCACCCCTGGCAGCCCTGTGAGGGGGTTATTGAAGCAACCTAATGCCCTCGCCCCAAGACTGGCCCTGTGAGGGGGTTATTGAAGCAACAACTGACCAGGTCCATCTGCAAAAGGCACCAAAACTCTAGCATAATCCACACTGGACATGCCACGTTGGCGCGCCGTGGATGTTTTTGACATCAAATGAGCTACTTAAGAGTCAAAGCTGCAATTTCATAGATCGGGGATCTACATGAGAACGTCAAAATAGTTTGAGGAACACTTGTGAAATTTACTCTTCATTCTAATAGAAGGCAAACTATGTTCTTTTAAAAGAATACACAAAAGAGTTTCATAGCGCAACATCGTGTATATATGACATAATTTGGCTAATAGCTCCAACAAAATCTAGCAAAATAGAGAAAATTTCCCTCCCCCTTTTTAGTTTATGATAAGGATTACTTTCTTCACCACCTCTCCTTCTTGGATTTTTTTTTAATTTAGGTCAGAAGAACCTGTTTTCATTACTCTGAACCCCACATGTCACCACTTTGCTCGGTTTGATCTTGCGTATGTACCACACGAGCCCCCCAACGCCTATGGCTGCAGAGATCGAGGCGACAGCGCTTGCTGCAAGAAAATTGCCCAAATTTGTATCAGAAGTCAGGTTAATTTGAGCCGCTGTGAGTAGCTTATCTCATCAAAGAATCGATCCAACAGTAGAACATCCCTTTTGGACAACAACGAACTGTCAACAACAAATTAAAGAACAGTACTGGAGTGTAGTGCTTGGTTCCATTGTTAGTTCTTTCCTCTGTAAGTCGCTTGTTCTTTTTGTGGCGACAGTGTTGCTATACTTTAGTGTTTTTCTTCACTGAAGTTTCTTCCTTTTTTTTTTGGTGAGCTTGAGTTGTGTTTGTGTGTAGTGATGTCTGCTCGTTGTTGCAGTCGGTAAGTCAGTTCTTGTAGTTGGTTTTGTACCCCTTTTTCTTATAACAAAAATGGAGTACGTGGCAAAGCTCTTGCCACCCTTTCGAATAATTAATAAAGAAAATTGGAGTACAAGTAATATTGTGGGGAAGTGTAGTTCTCACCAGCAATGACTCCTGCTGATCCATGATGCCCTGAGCCGTGACCTCCTGCAATTATTACAGGGAGCAGATCATGATACAGATTGATCTATTGCAAATAAACTCAAAATTCGTTTAATTAAGTGAGCCAGGGTGAAAACAGAAGAACATGCATGGTTCTTGCCTTGCTGCCAGTGCGCACTTCCATTTTATCCAGCGATAAGACGATTATATATTATTAAACTTATTTGCCGCGTGCATATAATCTTGTCTAAGCATCACCTCTTTTGATCTGAGCTGTGTGTTGTCCAACGACGCACACAGAAGCCAATCAAATCAAAAGTAAATAAATAAACGCACCTGCACAGTCCGTGGTGGAGTTGCGTCCGTCGCCGCAGATGCAGACGAAGTCCCTGGTAGCCGGGTCGAAGCCGCACGTTCCCCCGTCGCCGCGGCGTTTGTCCTGGCACTGCAGGCACCGCGTCGTGACGGGGACCTCGAAGTCCACACGCACCCCATACGCCGGCACCTGGTCGTAGGGAGGGAACTTGTCCCCAACGGCGCGCCAGTGCACGCTGGTGTACGCCTCGCAGTGCCGTAGCATCGCCCGCAGCGACTCCGCGGCGCGCGGGCGGTACGCGCAGCAGCTCATGTTGCTCTCATCCAGCGCGCCGCGGCAGCCCGGCAGGTTCCGGCACAGGTACCCCGCGCTGTCGCACGCCGAGTCGCAGCGGCCCGGGTACCGGTCGCAGCTGGCGGGGCGCGGCGCCACGATGACGCGCGCCTCGTCGCAGTCGAAGAAGAGGTAGTCGTTCCTCGGGGACAGCGAGAAGCGCGTGCTCGTGTCGAGGCTGAAGGGCACCGCGTGGACTGAGGTGAAGGGCCGCGCGCATGTCCACATCGACGGGTCTGTCACCACGAGGTGCGGGTCGGAGTAGTCCGCGCCGGCCACCGGGTAAGTGCCCGACGGGGTGCGGAGGCGGAGCGTGGCGTTGTCTGCGCAGGTGAGCATGTTGCGGTAGTACGGGCTGCCGCAGCCGTCGTCGATGCCCAGCGGGTAGCGGACCGGGATGTCGCCGCAGCTCTCACGGCAGACCCCGCCACCAGCTGTCGTCGATGGTAGCACCATCATGGCGGCGAGGATTGCAAGCGACGACGCTAACGCATGGAGATGGAGATGGGGAATAATCTCCTCCATTGGTGCAGTGCAAAATGGTGGTGCGAGTGAGAGAGAGCTAGTCAGATGCTTTTGGGTCGCCTGTTTGTGTGAGTCTGCAAGCAAAGAATCGAGCAAAGATGGGAGAGAGCGTTGGTTGTTATACTTTCTCCAACGGGGGACCCATAAGGGCATCAAACGCAAAATGATCCGACAATACTGTATCGGTCTCAAACAGAGTATCTACACAGGAGATTCATTTTGGGTGTCAGAAGAGGCACAACATAAATCTAAGTATCCTCTCTCTTCGAGACTCATTTGTAGAAAGAGTTATCTTTTGGGTCTTGCTATTGAAGAAGACAAAAAATGGATATTGAAACCTTTACCCTATAACATTACCCAAATATGATATGGGTCTTGTATTTTAGATTTCATTGTTGGAGGTAGTCTTAGTACTTCGTTTTGGGTTGGGTGTCAAAGTGGGTAATAGGCGTGTTGCTAGCTAGGCATGCCACATGCACCTGCAACAAAGCAAAAGCATGTACGATCACTTGCTTGCTGCCGCCTACTCCCTCCATTCCGAAAAGAAGGTCGTTCTGGCATGTGAACGTTGTCCCAGTAAAAATGTCGTTGTGCTTACATCCTGCTATTTTACCGGAGTCCAAGGCAGCATGCCTACTACGTGCACTCTCTACGATGGTGGACAACAGCTTTTGGCGTTGTGAAATACAAGTGCATGAGAGAGAATAGTAGGGGTATATTAGACTTTTCTCATTGGTCTTGGTACATGTACTGAATCCTAGAACAGTCTTTTTATTTGTGACATATTCTGTTGGCAGCCTGTGGGAGGTTGCTTTGCTTCATTCTCTCCCCTGCTTGCCTTTTTTCTTTTTCTTTTCCTTCTTCCAAAGTTTTTTGAGCCTCTTTTAGTTCCTTCTTTGGCGCAAAGTTTGGATAGGCATGAGCCTCATTGACTAATTAGGCCATTGCTTTTTTTTTTGATTTTTTTTAGTACTCCATGCTTTTAAGTTAAGTTTGATGTGACTCTTTCTTTTGCACATGTATTTGCTGATTCCCAACTATTGCCTTTTTTTCTTTTCTGAACATGTATTTGCTGATTCCCAACTATTGCCTTTTTTTTCTTTCTCCTTTAATTTGTTTAAAGAGGTTGCCGATCATCTATATACTTCTGCTTTATTTTTTAGAAGCTAGCTATCATGTGTCCATACAGTACGAGTGGAGTTTATAGTTTCATAAACACGTCATCCAGTTATATATATGTTTTCAAACCTCAGTTGTTCTAAGTTTGTAGCATATTCGGCGTTTGCCATGGAAACAAATACATTGAAAGAATGCTGCAAGTAGTAGTTTATATATTTTTTAATTTTTGTTATCAGGATCTTTGCGCTTGTTTAGCATTCAACTTTTATAGCTTCAAGATATCATTATATATTATGACGATGCATCTTTGCCAGCTTATATATATGATACTAGATTGACGAGAGATTTCACCAAATTTGTTTTATGGGTTGAATGGAAACCTGCCGCTGTTATCTTTCATTGTTTGAATTGCCACATGCCTTTTTTCAATTACCTATCAACTATTGACTATTTTCTTGATGCCACTTTCTCCTTTTCATTCAGTTACTCATACATCACAGAAATCGAGATCTTGGACAGGAAGAAAACCAGGAGACCTGAGTGACAGGATGAACGCACTAAAAAAAATGAGGCTTTCAACTTGTTGTTTTTAGGTTTTTGCCTTGTGGATCAGCATGATTTCTGAACATACAACAATTGCAGTCTGAGAATCACATTGTTTGGTTCCATCTTTGAAAAGCCATAGCTTGTAGTTGTCATGCTTAGTTTTGAGCTGCAAGTGCTAGCGGAATATGTTTCTGACGCAATTTAACAATGCGGATCGTCATTCCCTCTTTGATTTGCAGCACTGTAGTAACCTCGGTGACAAAAAATAACGTGCTCAGGTCTATTAGGGGCCATTTCGATCCGTTCATTTCAAAGGAATTAAAATCTACTTAACGAATTATGTTATTTTGTTTGGAATTTGACATTCCATAACTTTCTCAAGCTTATAAATAAGCCTATCTCAAATTCATAGGTTGAGAGATGGAAATTGATTCTATAGATCACTATGCTATATTACTCTTCAACTTATAACACACTCTTCAACTCACTTCCATACAATAGAAATACAACATATAAGTATGTCCCTTGTATGCCTAATAATAAATATACAAATATATTCCATATACAACTATATTAGCTTAATTAATCTATATCTAAATTGTAATTATTATAATGAATTCAATTTCAAGGATCGAGCCCATTATATTACTTCCCCACTCTTATTTAGGATGTGTGTTTCACATAAACAAACTAGAATACTCTACTTCTCTAAGTGAAACTGTTATGTTATGCTTCATGCTATCGAGATCACCGGTTTTATATATCAAGTCGTTGAGTGTTTATTCACAGAAATGTGTTGTTCTGAAGAATGGTCTAGGCTTCTCTGTTTCTGTCCGGCTTTTTTTTTTTTTTTTGATAAGGTTTCTGTCCGGCTTGACCAGCTGTGAACAAGTTGTATAACCTCTATGGACACCTATGGAACTCAAATTTGTTAAGAGTTTTATGGCTCATTATGTGTGGTACTAATCCAAGTGATAGTTTGTGATTGGTATTGTAACAATTTAAGCCGGCTATTTAAAAAAAACATATTTGGAAACTGACACCTGATAACTGTCCAAATTTCATGGCCGTCGCCTTACTCCGTGTGCAGGGAGCCTTCAGTTATTACAAATTGGCAGCCGGCTATGTCTTGGAGAAAAAGGAGAATGATTACATTCTTTTGCTTTTACATAAGAAAACATTTTTAGGGTCACCTTATCAGCCGTCTTCTGATGATGAGGACGACGGCGAATTATCACCTCATAGGGCACCATTGCTGCCCAGAGATCATCCGCCTCCATGTCCCCCCAGAGGAGACTTCTCTTTTTTGCGAAAAGGGTGAAGGCTTGACTGAATCAAATGTCGTCGTGGACGTGGTCTTCAGAGGTAATTGGGGCCGTTGACGACAGAATGCTGAATGTCGATGTGTTGTCAAGTTTTGTTTATGGACTAAGTGCTTTTAGGTAGCATAAACAAAATTTTAGCTAAAATTTATTTTTAATCTAACCCTTTTGATCATGCCACTTTATATGGCATGACAAGACAATTCTGCTGTGCCGCATGCATTAGCACGCAAAATTGGTGCATTGGTGGCACCTGCTGACATGATATCCTCCAAAATTTGTCTTCTTCCTTTAAATAAATTAGAGCAATAGGAATCCATAAATGATGTAAATATTTCATTTCAGTAATATGCACTAGCTCACGTGCTATATATTTTAAAAGATCTAATTTGACACGTATTATTGCTAAAATAAGAGCGCTTGTGTTTCCATGTCTTAAAAAAAATAAGCTTCTCTTTTTCTTCACTCAAATTTAATTAGTTAATAAGGTTCAAGTCTCTCCAGACTTTATAGGCTGCAACATAATATAAAGGTGTTCTATTTTAACTATAATTGTATCATGTTGTGGAAAGTCTTCAAGTGCCAACCTAGCTAAACCGAGTGTCATCCACTTGACCGACTCGCTTTGGCCTAAACCGACACTAAGGGTCCTAAGGAGGATGCCATCCGCACCTCCTCTTCTGGATCTTTTACGGTTTAGTTACACCACACGAACCAATCATCAAGCGACTCACATATCACAATCACATTATGAATAAAAGCTTTCCGCTATTTGCTGAAACATCATTGACCACAAAAGAAAATACAATAAAGAGTATTCTTAAATATAACATCTACATGTTCAAGTGAAAACCCATATCCTATCTAAGTTTGCTTTCAGTCGCTGAAAGCCCTAATTTGGTTTTGACTAATTGATGAAACTCATTGGACTAATCCTTTATCTAAGTGTGTAGACTAGATAGGATGGTCCAAGGCCAAGTGATGGAGCAAGATGAAGTCCATGGTGATGTTGGTGGACATGTGATGATGATAATCAAGCTCCGAACTTGGAAAAGAAGAAAGAGAAAAATAAAATGGGCTAAGGCAAAGGTATATTTGATAGGGCAATTTTGTTTTGCCACTCAAGACACCAAGTGATTGTGAGTGGGTTTATGATAGATAGCCGTACTATGAAGAGGGGTGAAATTCATTGTGAAATGCGGTTATCAAAGTGCCACTAGATGTTCCAACTCTTTGCATATGCATTTAGATTCTAGTGAGTGCTAACACCCTTAAAAATGCTTTGTGAAAATGCTAACACACGTGCACAATGGTGATACACTTGATGGTTAGCACTTGGGAGCAAGGGTGAAGAAGTTGGAGAAGAAAAGGAGGTGGTTTAGGGGACTGTGTAATACCCTCGGTGTTACATTGTACTGTTTTGTTAAAACATCGCATGAGCATCATATTTATGTGCATATGTGTATAACATGAATTATAAATCAATGTTCGGCACTTGAAACAATTATATGAAACAAGAAATGAATGTTACATTTCGTGTCACATCACATTGTTTAGTATTTTAATCGAATTTGTGTCGAAACAAAAATGCTATAGAACGTTTTGCGAACGGCGATAAATCATGTGCGGTCGAGAGGATAGCTAGCTAGTACATCCAGTAGGTCGGATTTGGGATTCGACGCGAAATCGTTTGAATCGACCTCATTCCACGTAAGTTTTAAAAAGGGGTCGACGAAGCCGCTTCTGGCCATTTGTGTAGAGCGATCGGCTTAGGAAGTAGCGCGATGTTATGACTTCGGTTGATAGCTTGATGTACCCTCTTGCACATCGAACAACTAGTTTGGCGTTTGGAGCATCGGGTACAAGTTTTTGAACTGCTTTAAAAAGCGTGCACGGCACATGGCCTAGCCCTTGCGCACGCTGCCACGCCGGCTGCGTCCCACCGCCACGTCGGTGCATGTGCACGGCCCTTGCGCTGCGTGCCAAGGCCGTGTGCCACCGCTGCTGGCCGCG